TTTGTGTTCGTACACTTATGCTTGAGTGCAATTTATTACTGAACTAAAGCATAAACTAAAATCAAAATAGATGAGTTATAAATAACTGATACACACTGCAGTTGTTATGAAAAGGGGAAAATACCTATAGGGACATTTTTTAACTTTTGTTTTTAGTTTTTTTGTACCAGGCTTTAAACACATTAATAAAAACATTTTGATATGGAAGTCAAAGGGGATTGATTTGCTTTTGGAGTTAGCGTCTAGTGGTCATTGGAGGAACTTCAGCCTTTGCACAATTGAATTTTTCAGCCCTGGAAGTGGCCACTCATATATATCTCACATATAACCAGCACTGGCATAATAGAGAGGCCTCAGCAGTTCAAACCAGACCACTGTGCCCACTCAGCGGAACTCTCCTGATATACTTCAGCTGTAAGTTACACTGATTCATAACAGTTTGGTAATGAAAAACGTAAACGCCCATAACACAGATATGTTTCTGCAGTGCTAGCACAATTTAATTATTTGGTTCAGAGTATCTTACTGTTTCTGCAGCAATCGTGGTAACCAGTATGACAAAGGAGCACGCTGAGCGGACAGGGCCTGTGCAGGTCAGATTTTGGAAAGTAGCCCTCATGTCTCTTAAACTAAAAAGAGGTCAGCTTGAGCTGCTTGTTTTAAAGCACGACCCTTGTGCTGAAGATATTGTGCGCTCACAGTCAGCTGCCCCAGTGTGTGGGGAGTTCATTGACCTGTTTCTGCACCTTGAGAATTTGTCCCTCCTGTTTTCCATCCTGCATTGCCCCTGAAATATAAGACAGATAATTTTGCACTCTTCTGACTCCTCTGTCAAAGTTGGTTGCCATTCTAGTTCACATGGTCTGCTGCCAACTCCGGATATAACATGTGATTTAGCTGTGGAGATGCTGGTAAGTCGAAATAAAGTTAGCAGTCATTATATTGAGCTACACTAACCACCAGACTACTGTGTATTCACAGTAGTGATCTTCTTGAGGGGAAGCTTGAACAACAAACTTTTTTATGACAAACCAAAAACAGCTGTTTCTTATGAGACAACACTCAGTATTAGACTTACCATTATAACGTAGCGTGATCTGTACTGGACTGCACCAAACAGGCCAAGGATGACCATGATGATGTGAAAAAAGTTGATCATGATGGGAGCCCACTGGTAGCCCAGAAAGTCAAACACCTGCCTCTCCAGCGCTGTAATCTGCAAAGCAGAGTTTTAAATGCATTTTAAAACAGCAGTGAGTGTCAGTTGAGCCTATGCTGCCATGGCTTGTTAGACCATGATCTTTGACCTTGTTTTTTTTTTTTATAAGTTTCCAAGGCAACTGAGCCATGGGAGACAAAGTATTCTCAGGGAAATACAGCTGGTTTATAGTGTCATGTCCTCTGGGGTCACAGTCCCAGTGAGCCATAAAGGGGGCAGGGTGGGAAACACGGAGGAGGAGGACAAAGTGGGAGCAGCCCTTTATTGTGGTGGTGGGGTCACTGCTATTCTCCACCTTCAACTAAAATTTAAAACTACAGAAAATAAATGATTTGCTGTAGTCAACAAGTAGTAGCCTACTATTTTCATTACAGCCTATTCTGCTAATTGTTTGATCTATAAAATGCCATAATGCAGTCATTTTCAA